AGGTTTTCAGGGTGAAGGTGATTTTCATGAACGGAAGCGATTGAAGATCAAATTTCTTCCCAATACTTATAATGTTTACAATTTTTATTTTGTTTTATTTGAATTCTATGAGTAGCTAAACCCCCCAATGTTAGAGGGTGTCCCTGATTCAGGATTGTAATGACTCTGATTTCTTAATGGCAATAACATTTCTGACTTTCATCATTGATTTAATATTATAATGTTTCTAGTGACTTCTCTGTCGGACAAACATGGATTGATTTACGATTAACAATTAGGCTGGACCGCTATTGTTAATGCTTTTATGAGATTATGCTATAATAGATATCACCTAGGACTTGGATAACCTATACCAACTAGAGTATTCTTGATCATACAAATTGCTTGATTTCATCATGAATTTCTAGGGACTTAAAATTTAGAATGAACTATCAACGATTTTTTCACTAAGGATTTAGGAGAAAATAAACTAAAGAACCGGTAATTGGTTATTTGAAATATGTTGTCAAAATAAGGATTAAATGTTGTTACATGTACAATCGTACACTCTCCCTAGCATGTTACTCCTATTTGTCAAAATCAATCTAATTTCTTATTTACTTTTATTCGTTAGTATTTTTACAAGTAACAAAACAAACTCAAACATTAGTTTTTGTTTAATTGAACAATAATTCAAACTCAGTATTTATACGCAGTCCTTGAGATCGACATCCAGGAAATTTCCCTCTTTATTACTATAGAAGCAAAATAGTTCACTTGCTATTTTTCTGATCATACACACACACACACACACACACGAGAGAGAGAGAGAGAGAGAGAGAGAGAGAGAGAGAGAGAGAGAGAGAGAGAGAGAGAGAGAGAGAGAGAGAGAGAGAGAGAGAGAGAGAGAGAGAGAGAGAGAGAGAGAGAGAATATATTTTTTTAGTGCGAAATAAAATAAGGGGAAACCATCTATTTATAGGATAAAATGCGGCTCAACAGGGAAATGATCCATTAGCCTTCTAAAATTAATAATCGATTATTTGATATAAAATGAAGGTTTTAAAAATGCACTGCCATTAATCGATTAATTGACCTAATAATTGATTATTAGGGTCACAAAGATGATAATTGATTATGATGTTGTATGTATCTGATACATTAAGTGGGGGACCTCTATGTGGTATTTCTTGTCCCTTAAGATTTACTTTGTCTTTACTCTTATATTTTAGTCTCCTCTTTAATTGTGCATCTTTGAGGATTATGTTTTGGATCTATATTTAAGCATGCATAATTCAAATTGCTTGTGTTTGAGTATGAACATTACGCTTTAAGTCAATTAGTTGAGTTTGTGGAACAAGAACCATAATTGAGATTAATTCAAGTCATGCCAAAATTAATATCTCAAAACATCTTTGAAAACTTTGGATGTGTGATTCGAATCATACAATCCCATGAGTCTAATCAGACAAGCCAGAGAAGAATCAGAATTTTGTGTAAGCTTGTGATTTGAATCACAACTTGCACTTGATTAAAATCATGCACCATGTGAATTGAACACAACTTGTACATGAGTCAAATAGAAAATCCCTCTTCAGCCCCTACCAAGTTTGAGTCAAATCATGACCAAACCATGACTCGGATCATAGCTTGTGTTAGTCGAATCATGCTTTATTCTTGACTCTAATCACGGATAAACGATTCTCTTTTTAAGTGCAGATCTTGTTCCCAATGACTTAGCCACTTGACTCAAATCACAAAATACTCTTGACTCGAATCAAACATGATTTTTTCACTAATTCTTGTGCTTCATCTCTAGCACCTATAAATCATTTTTTACTCTCAAAACATTTCATAATGTTAGAAAACACATTGTTCTATTGATGATTTGAAAACTCATAAACCACTTTTTATTTTTTATTTTTTTTCAAAAGAGTTTGAATCTTCTATCTCATTCTTTTCCTTGTTAAATGTTTTTAATCTCATTTTGGAATATTCGTCATTGATTGAGTAAATTTTTTTGAATTTAATGTTTCTTTGAAAATTTCTTTAACTTTTCAGACGCTTGTAAGATTGTGCGGTGTTGTGTCTGGTTCTGACAATTTTAGTGAAAAAAGGAGGTTCTTCTCTCCAAATTGACTTTGGTAGTGCAATATGGAAGTCTACAAATAAGGTAAGAGTTCTTTTCGATCTTTGAATAGTCCAACACTCAATATACCAATAGAATCACGTGGAAAATGTCGCAGATGAAGACTTAGGAGTTGGTTGTTGGAGTTGGAAGATTCAAGAAGCGAATTCGAGTAAAGATTTTGCATAAAGTCCAATTTGTGAAGTTGTGTACAAGTCAAAATCCAAAAAGAAGGAATTTATTTTTCAACATTTATTTTTAGACTAGTGATTGTATGAACTCTTGTAATGTTGTTACAAATCATATTGGAAGACCAACGAATTTTTACTAAGCAACCATTTGAGAATGAATTAAGCACAAAGCGACGACGAACGTGTCAAACCACTATAAATCTTGGTGTACTTTCTCCTCTCTTTTCTCATTTAATTTCGTCATTGATCACATGATTAAGTTGTTTCTATTGCTTTCTAAAATAGCATGTTGATAGGATTTATCTTGTTGTTGCTAGTGATTTCTTGAAGACTTTGATAGTAGAATCTTATTTGTATTGAAATTTATTCAATAATATTTCTTGTGAAATTGACAATTGTGCAATAATATTGGTTTGTACATTTAGGTGTAATTCAATAGTTCAACTTGGTTGTATTGTAAACTATTTGAGCAAATTAGCATAACTTTCAATCGATAAGCATAATATCTTTTACGCAAACTTTGCTTCCGCCACACAAAATATTTTGTTTTTGAAACTCTGATAAAAATATTTTTTCAAACAAGTTTTAGTTTGGGAGGTCTATTCACCCTCCTCTAGACTGTTATTAGTCCATATTCTCACCCAACAGATTGACCCTAATGGGCTAATTAATTATTCCATATAAAAACCCTTCTAGTTGATTAAAATGAATCTCTAATCTATTAGCTAAGCACAAAAAAATCGATTGATTTAATTAAATAAGACATACTTTATGATCATTTTAAAGTATGTGTGTATGTGTGATTTAACTTAGTAAATTTAAGAGCTAATCTTATACTGACACATATCACTCGACATTTTCACGTTGAACTTTCATACTTCTTCTCTTTCAAAACTCTAAAGCTTGAGGTTTCTTGCTACATTATCTTTGATTTTGTCACTTTATTGAAACCTCGAATCTTCTACCTAGTGAGACTTGAGATAACTCTTCTTGATAGATACCATCATCAAACACATAAATTGTTTTGAGATCTTCAGTGACTTCACCGAATGCCACTTAACATTAAGTGTTGTCCTCCAGAGAATATCTATGATATCTTGATTTTTAAGTATCACAATTTGATCACCGCTTTAAATGATGAATTCACCTGATAGTGTTGTCATCATCAACACCACATGACTAGATTTTCACTTCTTATGAAGACTTTACTTTAAAATATTTTCATCATCAAAACCAAACAAGTTGCTGCAAACATCATACCTGTAAGCACATAGACCTATATTTCTCCTTTTTGATGATAACAACGCATATATCTTAGGGAGATAGACAAATAAAAAAACAAAAATGATATATTTGAGTGGTTAAACTCACCTAACAAATATAAAAAGTGTACTCTATTTTCTTAAGAATATACTTCTTCCCCTTTGACATTATCAAAATAACGAGGAAAAATAATATATATATATATATATATATATTATATATATATATATATATATATATATATATATATATATATATATATATATATATATATATATATATATATATATATATATATATATATATATATATATAAGCACACGTATCACCTAAGCATAAGCATTTAAATTTAAAAAAAAAATCTTAATAAGACAATTTGAGTTACCTCGCTTACCTCAATTATGCTAACTATCATAATAAAATAACTTGAGTTATATGAAAGGTAACTTAAATTACCATAAAGTCAAAGCAAACTATGAATCATAGAAAATCTCTTCAATAATTTTGTTCATTATTCACTATATTAATAAATGAACCCCTTCATACCTTAACCTAACGAATGCGTGGTTTTTTGAATGATTAAGAGATAGTATGATTCCTTGAGGTCTAAGTAACAAGAAAACAAAAATTTTGAGTTTTTAATACAACAGCTTTTTTTTTAATTTTTTATAATCAATATTGTATTCAAATAGAGTATAGAGGGGTACTCTAAAGTCCGAATACAATTAGCAGAAAGATACAAACCAGCCCAACAACTACTTACAATTAGTTGTTTAATACAAAAGTTGTTTATTCTTAATGAAGAATAACAAGAATATAATCAAAGATTCAAATTTATCATTCAAAGGACGATTTTGATCGACGTGAAACAACACTGTCAATACACTGGTCCAATTGCTTGATGCACAACAACTAACAAATTCAAAAACAATTTATAATTGAAGTTTCTTAAGTTTTTGAGTGTTACTGATAATTTTAATGTTTTGACTCAAATATTTATAAAAATTCAAATGATGGAAAATCGGAATTGATGTTACCTAAATATACTATGTTTTTGGTTCCAAAATGATAGATGTTCAGTTGAATTCAAATTCTAATCCATTATCACTAAAAAATATACAAGAATTTTTACACCAAACTAAGTGCAAGATGGACTACCTCTATTGGATTGCTAGATAATTAAACATCATAAACTACACAAAAAAAAAATAGTATTTCCATTTCACAAATTACAATGAACTACATTATCAAACATTACACCACACATGCAGAAGCAAGAAACTAAAATTCCATTAATATTTCAAAATCTCAAACACTCATCATGTGTTTCTTGAATGCCACTCTATCATACTTTAAACCTACATCAACAAGATAATCTGTTAACCAATATAACTCATGTTAACTAATATACATGGAGATAGAAATGAAGAAAAGACCTTTCAGAAAATATTTTTCTGTAAATCATCTAAGCCAGGGTCAATGTCTTTGGCTTCTTTCTTCTCATCATTGTCCAGTAAGATAGGAGCATCAAGCTCAGGAGGTTTCTGTTAAGATATGAATTGCTTCAATCAAAGAGTTCACAACAAAATTAAAGCAAATTATTAATGTAACAATTATATAGTGTTACCGTGCAACGAACTAGAGCCCAATTGACATTCTTGAAGAATGGATGGTTCTTAATTTCATTTGCTCCTTCAAGTGAACCCAATCTGTTTTTGGGATCTCTGTGCAGTAGCCAGTAAATTAATTGCTTGCCATGGGGACTTACCTGCATAAACACTTATTGCATATTAAAACAATACTATATATATACATCACTTAATTTATGTTCGCAAAGTTTATGGAGGTTTTAGATATCATTTACCGGTTTGCTTTTGGGAAACTTAAGATCTTTGTGAAGAATATTTCCAAATGTCTTTTGTCTTGTCTTTCCTCTGAATGGTGTATATCCATAAAGCATTTCATATAGAAGAATACCTAAAAGAAAGCGTTAAAATGCAATCAAACTTTCCTATTTTTTTTATGTTACGAAACCTGATATAGATTCACATTTTTTAACGATAAATAAAAGTTACCTAGAGCCCACCAATCCACAGCACTAGTATGACCTGAACCTGTTATAATTTCCTGTACAAGTTAAGTTGTCAGATACAACCAATTCAGAGAAATGAATCATTCTAAAGAAGTTCAAATAGCACCAATATGAAAAGTTTTACAAACTTTAAATATATTTTGCATAATGGAACATTTTTCTTAATAATGTATATTAATTGGTGCATTCATCCTAAGATAGGTATCGGAATCATGCATATAATATGCGAGGAAATACAAACCGGAGCTATGTACTCTTCTGTGCCAACAAAAGAATTGGACGCTCTCATTGGTTCTGCCATGAACATTGGAACCTCTTGATTTTTCGGTTGTCCCTTTTTCTTTTTCTTCTTTCTCTTCTTCTTTTCCTCGGTAGCTGGAAGTATAAGCTGCGGAGGGAAACCATTCGGCGACTTTAGTTAAGATATTGCTAAAAACTACATTATCTGAAGTTCTTGTCTAGGATACCTGTGGCTTGCAAGATGTTAAACATGATAAATCAAAATCTGTTAGAGACACATGTCCGTTGCGCTGGATCAGCACATTTTCTGGCTTCAAATCCCGGTAAATTATGCCTGCAAATTCTCGCCAACAATGTCAGACTAAATTTTGTTTTAGTAGGTATCTGGACCTACACATTAAAAATTCTGAAGTAGCAAAGTTTCTTGCTGCTTCAGAAACAACTATCCCGTGTGCGTGTATTCTGAATAAGAACCTACCTAGACAATGAAGATACTCCAATGCAATCACTACCTCAGCTGCATAAAATCTATAAATATCAAGAACTTAATGTCAGTTAAAGAAAAGTAGAGAAACACATGAAGTGTCAGACATAGTTGAAGAATGACCCTTTTCTTTAATAGCGGTTATTGAGAGTCTTAATGCCTCTATTATTTTTTAAAACTTTTGATGTAAATATATAACTACTCCATGTAGTAGCATAATATACCTAACAGAATCTTCCTTGAGAACCTTTGTTGGCTGCTGGTCAAGAAGCAGGAATAGTTCGCCCCCAGGATAGTAATCAGTTATCAAACAAACATGTGTTTTGGTCTGCAAATCATTCAAGTTCCAAATATTTGACAAATTCAATAGATAAAGGCTTTAATCTAGGTGAAAAAAGAGAATATAACCCATGAAACCATTTTCCATAAATTATACTGAGTCACTTATTTGAAAGTAATATTTGAATTTCAAACCTGAAAGGAAGCATATAATGCAGGAAGAAAAGGGTGGTCCAACATGTCAAGGATTTCTCTTTCAGTGCAAGCTCTATGCACCTGTGGATAAAATATAAAAGGCCATCCTATTATGACAAGTGGTAAAGGCTTCTATAACTTGATTTACACAGACCGGAATAGTACTTTTATGTGATTAGAAATCATGAACATACATGCTTCAATTAATAATGGTTTCTTAAAACATTTGTGTATGTATCATCATCTACATAATGCAATATGTTTTAAAAGTTGGATCAGTAAATTTGGATAATCAAATTCAGAACCTTATTGCGATTGAGCATAACACCCTTATCCATAGCCTTCATAGCAAAGTAATGACCAGTTCCCTCTAGCTCCACCAGATGCACACTGCATGGAAATAACCTAATATCAGTCCCGGAAGGAGTATGACAATGAAATGGATTGGGACACTTATCGAGTATTATAAAATCTTGAGCTCAATTGAATTTTCATCTAACTAGAGACCAATTCACCAACAAGGCTCTTACATATATAGTTTGTACATGGAAAAGATAACTAGGGAGAAAAAATGAGAAAGAAACCTTCCGGTGTCTCCAGACCCCAAAGGCTTAATTGGCCTAAAGTGTTTTAGGCCTACCTGTTCTCCATTTTCTACAACCTGCAAAACCATAGAGTAATTTATAATCAGTGTAAAATAAATTCCTAAGTCTTTACTCATATAACATAACTAATAAATAACAAGAAATTTAGAAAACATGACTCATTTTCAAGTGAGAAAATAATACGTTTTGGATTGCTCTCCAAGCATCGTCATCCTTCCTATGAGGTTTGGGGCGAACCACTTTTGAATGATTCTTCCATAAATCGTCTGGTTTCTGGAGATCATAAAAAATGGTGTCACAAAGGTTAATAGAACTTTAGAAGACATAAAACTAACCGTTACACCTTATTACCTGATTAGCATCAGGAAGCTCTTTCACTGCCTCACCAACATTTTCTGCTGTTTCTTTTACCTGGTTGTGAATTTTATATGAATTGGTTATAACATAGAGAAATGCTTCATAAATTGAACAATGTTTCCTCCAACAAATATTATATGTAAAAAAGGAGCTGAAAATATATGAAAAAAGTTTGGATATTAATGATGTGATATCAATGTATTTCAACTGGTGAAGAACTTAATAGAAAACAAACCAATAGTTCTCCCTCCTTTGCAGACTCTTCTGCAATGCAATTGTGAAGAGGCTCTACATGTTGACTACCATCAAGTTGAACACCAATAAAGTATTGTACTTCTCCCTATATAACCAACAAGGAAAATGTTGTGTTGCACAATATCCAAAACAAGAATTGTAGCAAGGTATAGAACGGTGCAAAATCTTTAGAAGACTATTCATAAGTTGTACCTTATGATCACGCATAGGTTGTAAATGAAACAAGTTCCAGAACTTTTTCCCTGGAAATTGCAAGGAAATATCTTAAACAACAAGTGGAATAATAATTGTAATGTTGTAGAAAAAACATGCTTATAATTCTATGAAAGTGATTTTCCCTGTTAAAATCAAATAGCTTACCACTCTTTGTATAATTGATTAGTTGCACAGTTACTTCTGTTTGGTTGTCAATTGCCTCTCTGATTTTTCTCACAGTTGCTGGATCAGTTTCTTGTCCTTGCAGAAACCTAAATAGCCAATTAGCATGTAAGGTAAATACACAAAATTTCAACATTATCAAATTAAAAAGCACTCAAAATATACCTGCAATTTTTCCCCAAGATTTCTTCACGACTATATTCTGTAAGCTCTAAGAAACTATCAGATGCAAAGATCTGAAAAATTTATAACCAAATTCAAACTTTAGTTTCCTAGTTAAATCCCGACTCTACTAAAGTGAGCAAGATAAAGTAAGTAATCTCAACATATCAATCTGATATTGCATGCATAACAAATCACGAATATGTTAGAATATCAATCATAAATCGTTGAGATTATTTATTTTATCCTCTAAAGTGAATTACTAATCACTCACTTTAGAAGAACTAAACCTTATTACAAATGATTGATCGAATCTTACTATAGGATTGTCAGGAAGCCTTGGATCAGTAATGACAAAGTTTTTCTCAATACGCTCGAGTGTAGTTGCAAGATCAAGACCTTTTCTCTTTTCCTTCAGTTTTTCTTTGTCATCAAATTCAAAACTATCATCCCTCTCATCATCCTCACTCCCAGAGCTCACATCTACAATAACTTCATTATCAACGCTTTCATCAATGGAATGACTTTTCCTCATGAACCTGAACATAGAAAAATAGTAGCACTCTAAAATAGAATGATCATACAAATACATTGAAGATATAGTGTTTGTAAGGCTCAACTTTGACCAAAACTGATTTTGGTAAACAATAATTTGAATGCATCACAGAAATGATGTTAAAAATCATCTTTGGAGGCAAAAGCATCAAATTAGTTTAATTCATCAACAACAATTTTACTTGAAAATACTCAAGCACACGAAATTCAATATAAGGTTTCTAGATTGACTTTTGTCTCTGTAAGTATGTACTAAACAAAAATATTACAGTAGTGATAAAGGATTATTTCAAGAACATGTATAACTTAAGTATATAACCATATATATTACCCCATGAACGAACCACGACGAGAGTTTTTCTGTTTATTTTCAGGCAGCTCACTGATTCGTTCCATAGAATGCCTAATTTTTCCTTGCGGTTTTGGTCTAAAAGAAGCTACGCTATCAGATTTTCTCCTTGATTTGTTTTCTAATCTTTCATCTTCTTCAGAACCTCCACCTCCTCCTGATTTTCTGATAAAGGGACGGTGTCCGGATTCACTCATTGCGCGGGGGCGCTTCATGGCTTCTAATAACTCAGATACAGAAGATGTAGCTTTCTCTTTCTGACGAGCTGCATTACAGAAGATGTTAACAAACACTGTTAAAATCTCTTATTATTGCAAGGTAAGGTAGGACAATTAGTTTGAAACTTGCATATGAAAAATACATTATTATTATTATTATTATCATTATTATTACGATGAGTTATTTCTCTTATACATCTAATGTTTTTTATAGTCAAATGAAACTTAACAATTCATACTTGAATTTCAACAATATCTTATACAATATTTAATATTAATGTGTCTAAGTACAACTCTATCTAAAAAAGATATGTTAATTTTTGGTTTCATGTTTGATTTCACTTTCCTTGGTTTGATTGTTTATGCATATTTTTTCACAATTCAATTCTTTTTATCTTGCATATTTTAAATTTTCATCTGACTGGTAGGTACTTTTGATCATTACTTATCATACTATTCATTTTGTCTTTCATTTCAATTTATTTCTTTAAATATTACATTTGCTATTTAATCATTTATTTTTTCATGATATTAAAAATGGTAATAGAAGAAGATCCATCTAATATCCTAGGTTAGAACTCACTCTTAGACATACAATAATGTTAAATCTCTTAAGATAGAGTTTTACCGTCTATTGTAGTCCTCTCCATTTTAAGAGATTAATTTCGGCAGGTTACACGTAATAGGATACTCAATTTATAAAATAAAAAAAAATCCATCCAATATACCATACCATCGTATCGAATTAAGGATTCAGGCAACCCATTGGGACGCAGCTTCTTCTCTTTGGACCCCTCAGTATGCTTGTTAACTTCCACCAGCATTCTGCCACATAACAACCAAAACACATAAAGTAACCATCCCCACTAATTTAATTTCCTTTCTTTTCATTACACATCATCAAGGTCCACACACATGCAATCAATACAAAAGGCTCAAATCTTTAACCACACCCAAAAGGCCAAAAGTATACCATAAAGATTATTAATAAAAGGAGAACCATTATGTCCAAAATATAAAAAAAAAATTATAAATATTAACCTCAAGTTATAAAACAAAACTAGAATTGATGTAAACAGTTAAACATAGCCGTCTTTGGCACTTTCCAAAGTTAAAGAAAATGATATATAGTCTCGTCCTTGTCACAGTGAAATGCATGCATCTCTCTCGTGCCTTGCGCCCACACTTTCTATCGTAAATTTTGCAACAGACAACACACACCTCGTGTGACAAGAGTCTACTAACAAAAAAAGTCTATTTTGGTCCCCAACCATCTCCATAAAGTAAAACATAATATAAACACATAGATTTGAATTTGACTCAATAATCACATTACAACTGTCTTAAATTTTCAGAGATTCTGCAGATTAATTACAATGTACTCGCAACAATGTTGTGATTCAAATAACAATATTTTATAAAATTTTATTTAAATACGATTTAATTAGATCAAATTTTAAATTCTATTCAATAACTCTGCTTGCATGCCCCGACCATATCCAGGTTCATTTTAGTGCATTAGTAGAGTAAGCAAATCAACAACTATGAATACTACCATGGTATACTATAATGTAAATCAAATTAATATAATAATAAAAATTTAAGAAGAAAAAAAAAAGTTAGTTACTAATTACCCAATTAACTTGAGCACATTGCCATCATCATCCTTGATGGGAGAAATAGTGAGAAGATTCCAGAAGGGAGTTCCATCCTTCTTGTAATTCAGCAACCTTCCACAAAAACTTTTCCCACCTTCCAACGCTTCCCTTATCCTTGCCACGTCATTCGGATCCGTATCCGCACCCTGTAAAAACCGACTGAACCACCCTAACCGAATTAAAAATAGTTATCATAGAAATAATAAATAATAAATAAAAATTTCGAAGAAACGGTTATTACCAGTTTCTTCCTATGACTTCTTTTGATGTATAACCCGTCATTTTGAAGAAACCCGCACTTGCATACAAAATCGGGTAATCGGGTTTGGTAGCATCCGAAACCACGAAAGTTTGTTGAAAAGCCGATAAAGCGTCTTTCAAATCATCCGAAACTCTCGGAAACCCGCGGGGATCACCTCCGTCGGAAGATTCACCGGAAGTTCGGACGGAGTTATTGGAGTTTCTTTTGGATTCAAGTTTAACGGCATTCGGCTCGTCTCCGCCGGAGTGTCGAACTGCCACTCCTTGTGGTTTCCCGGTTTCAGCATCTGTTGTGAGCACCAATCCCCACTCGGCGGCTCTCTGTACTGCCGCACCGGTTTCTTCTTCCTTGATTGCCATCCAGGAAGTGTTGGTGACTTCATCGGGGAATTCGTTGCGCGGCTCTTCCGTTTCCGTCCAGTTTTTCAGATTTGAAGGTGAGCGTACCGGCGAGCTGGTGTTGCTAGTTGGATTGAATACTTCTAAGGAGCCGCGAGGATCTCTTGGAAATGATGGTCTCATTGATGATGATGAAGAAGAAGATGGAGATTTCTTCAAATGCTTCTCCATAGCTAACTAGTAGCTACCTTCATATAGTTGACACAATGCAATATATGGAAGTTAGAATTTTTTTACAAATTTGTTATTATAATATCGTTAAGTCACCTCAGTTGTAACATAGCACTGATAGAAATTAGACTCTGAGCGCGGGTTCATGTGCCATATTTTAATGGCGATATTGTTAATTAGTGTTCCTTATCAGTAGGACTAGTGAAAGAAATTGAGGACTCACATTTTTGAAGTAGTTTTGTCAAAATGATAATGATGTTTGATAAAATAATTGGATAGAGGAACTTCAATTTTTTTACTTAGTTGGAACCTTGGGGAGACATTAGTTTGAAAATGTGTTATTTTCTATTAATATCAGGAACATAGAATTTAATCCGATTAGAACAACACCTAAGAAAGCAAATTAATTGTCTGTAAATATAATAATTAGAAACAAAGTAAGCATAGAACAATTTATTCATACAAAATTATAATAGAAATTGAAATACCTGAAGCTGAGTTGTGTAACTTTGTGTTGTATATTGTTGTGATTTCTGATGCAGCAAACTTTATATTTCTAGTAAAATGATTATAAAGTTAGTTTTACTAGAGATGGTAAGAGAAAAAGTAGTGAGATATGAGAATCTAAATCATTGTAAAAAAAGGTTTGTGTTCCCGTCACTGTGTGCTGTTGTTCACATAGCTCCTGAACTTATATCTCATCATTTAGAATTGGGACATGAAGATTCAAGAGCTTACTTTCAGGAAACGAAATAGCTAGAGTATGTTGATAATAGGATATGTTCTTAACCCTTACCTTGAAAATTGAAAGTTCAAAGTTCAATGATGGTTTGTGGTGTCAGGCAGAGAATATGGAAGTGAGTTGGAAAGAAACAAAAGAAAAGAATTGCACAGGCCTTGTACTTAATAATCATGATGACCGCAAATTATTATGAATTTAAGTGTATAATTTTTACTATAATGTAGATTTGACGTTTTCCTAATTGCGCTGTTTAGTTAATTTGGTGGTTAGTGCTAAAACGAGTGGAAGTAATGTTCCTTACCGCTAAAATATCAACAACTTTTTGTTAAGATTGCTTTATTTGCTATTTGTAATAAGCAAATTCTTTAATGATAAATGCATCCAAAATTAATATAGTTTTAACTTCTTACGTGTAGTTAACTCCAAAATTACTACTGAAATAAATAAATAGTACTATAAAAAAGATAAAATTATCTCATCCAGACACAAAATTATCTCACACTATGCATAGAGGCACAAAATGAAAACACATACATAATAGTTGATGGAACCAAATAAATAATAGTTGATGGAACCAAATAAACTTCTTAGATGGAAACATATATACTATCAGAAATTACACCACAAATAGTACAAAGTGTCATACAAAAAGATGGGTCAAAAACCCTTACAAAAATAAACTAAGAGAAATACATCTTTTTAAGCTCTAATATTGCTGGTTGTGCCTTCCTCTTCACTGCTTTCTTCACTTTCATCATCATTATGATTATTTCTATCTGAAGAGGCTTATTTCTATTCATCTTCAATCTTATCAGTCACACCTTTTCCTGCCTCCAACGATCTGATAAGGTTTTCAAGTTTAATTTTTCTCTCTGTGAATGTCTTGATGGTTTCACCCAATTCTTTGCAAGTATTTTTAAGTTCAACAATGATTTCAGCTTTAGAGGATAGATTGGTATCCTCCTCGCCAGATATTGTAGTAATATCTGGAACATGTGTCCCTGTGAATAGCTTGTAATGTAAGGACAGAGGAGCTGCCCTCTTGCTAACTCTATCATATCTGTTTAGGATACTGACTCAGAATTATACCACAGATGAAAGTGGGAAATGGAGTGGACATTTTCACAACATATGAATGATCATGCTTGATGGTTTGTCCAACGATATAGATCCCAAAGTTAAATTTGATTTCAGTTCTAACTATATAAAGGAACTTTCTTAGTCCTGCAGCTATTGAGGATGTGTGATTAGCAGGAATCCAGTTGGTCACTCATATCGTATTCAAACCGGTATATTTAACACTCAGATTACTCACATAGAGCTTCTTTTTCATTGGCCATTGAGACGCTTGTTTTGCAGTGATCTCTCTGCAAATGGTATTATCAGTAACCTCTACTTCTCTCTGCTCATCTACACATGTTCCCATATACCTGTTGATTATCTTAGGTGAGAACTCCACACACTTACCTCTGACAAAAACTTTTATGTAAACTATGCTTGTTTTGTTGTCACAATCCCTATGAATGTTTACTATGAATTCATTCACCAGAGTTTCATAACACTCTCTCAATCCAGCTACACTCTTCATTAACCCTGTTTTCTCAATGAGACTAATCACTTATTTACATTCAAGAGCATCTTTGCTAAATTCTCTTTCTAATGTTATTCTTCTATGGCTCACAAATTTCCATTTATCCGCATATTCAATAGAATGAAAAGAAATATTGTCAACTGCAACTTCAGGAATGTTGAGAGGAATCTTCTTACCTGCTACAATTTTCTGGCAGATGGAACAATGTCTTGAATATTTGCTCCAACATCTACCCATATTCTGAATCACTAGATGATTCTTGCTTTCTTTTCAAAGACTTTTTCTGCCCAGCAGGAGTCTTTACTTTACCCCATCTCTTACCAGAACTAGCAAATGACCCTTTTGGACAATTTTTTAGCACTGCTTGAGGTGTCAAACAGAAGATTGAAAGGCTGCTCAAAAACAAGTTCGTCAGAATTGCAAGGTACGTCGAATGGTTAGCAAACATTGTTCCTGTTATCAAGAAAAATCGATCTCTTAGAGTTTGCATGAACTTTAGGGATTTGAATAGTGCTACCCCTAAGGATGAATATCCGATGCCTGTAACAGAAATGTTAGTCGATTCAGCTGTAAGATATGAATATCTTAGCATGCTCGACGGTTATTCTGGCTATAACCATATTTTTATAGCAAATGAGGATTGTCTAAAATGGAATTCAGATGCCTATGAGCATTAGGAACGTATGAATGGATGGTAATGCCTTTCGATTTGAAAAATGTCGGAGTAACCTATCAAAGGGAAATGAATGTTATGTTCCATAATTTCATATATATATATATATATATATATATATATATATATATATATATATATATATATATATATATATATATATATATATATATATATATATATTGATGGTATAATGATAAAATCTTCATTTGAGAATAGTCATTTAGACCATCTTTGGTGATCCTTTGAAAGAATGAGGAAATATGGATTGAAAATGAATCCACTAAAATATTCTTTTTTATGTACATGCATGAGACTTTTTAGGTTTTGTAGTATACAAAAAAGGCATCGAGATCAATCAAAGAAAAACAAAAGCAATTTTGGATCTCAAGCCTCCTTCGATAAAGAAACAATTGCAGTCTTTTTTAGGGAAAATCAACTTCTTAAAAAGATTTATCTCAAATCTAAGTGGTAAGACGAATATTTTCTTGCCATTACTGAAGATCAAGAAGGAAAGTGACTTCCACTAGAGAAAGGAGCAACAAGAGGCTTTCGATGCAATCAAAAAATATTTGACAAAGCCTCCTATTTTATTACCACCTAGTAGAAATAAGAACATGAGATTGTACATAGTTGCATTGATTTAACAATAGGAAGCATGTTAGTCCAAGAGGATGATAATGGAGTCGAAGGACCCATATATTACCTTAGTCGATTATTAATAGACGCAGAAACTAGGTATATGATGATAGAAAAATTATGCATGTGTTTATATTTTTCATGTGTTAAGCTTAAGCAATATATTAAACCAGTTGATGTTTATGTTTCGTCTCATTGTGATGTAATTAAACATATGTTGTCCAAACCAATTTTGCATAGAAGAATTGGCAAATGAGCACTAGCCTTAACTGAGTTTTTAATGTTTTACATGCCTTTGAGGGCCATGAAAGGCCAAACCATGGCATACTTTATAGTCGATCATACAATAGTAAAACCATTAGTGAATCTGATTGATACCGACCCTTGGAAATTGTATTTCAACGGGTCAAGCCATAAGAATGGAACTGGTGTCAGGGTTCTGATTATCTCTCCAAAAGAGGTACCAACAAAATTCCAATGTAAGGTAAATGAAAAATGTTCTAACAACAAAGCAGAGTATGAAGCTTTGATTACAGAGCTTAAACTTTTGAAAGACATGTGCGAAAAGAGTCAAAATTAAAGTTGATTCAGAGCTAGTGGTTAAACAAATCCCTCGAGAGTATAGTGCATTAAAGATCACTTATTTGTATATTTTGCATTGGTGAATCAATTGTTGGAATATTTTTAAGTTGTAAGCATTACGCATGTGCCCAGATTAGAAAATCAAGTGGCGAATGATTTGGCACAAATTGCCTCTGGGTACAAGGTATCGACTGAAAGGCTGAAGAGTTTTGTCGAAGTAAGGGAGAAGGTGGTCTGGACAAGGACACCATCATCAAAATTGTCAATCCGAAAAGCTAGGGGCAGATGATTTGGCGAATTTTGAAAATTTTGAAGTTTTTGCCATTGACAATTTGTCAGACACATAATGGTGAAAGGCAATTATGAATTATTTTGAAAATCTAGTCGGAGATGCCGACAGAAAAGTAAAATACAGGGCTTTGTTATGCCTGCATGGGTAATGAGTTGTTTAAGAAACTCCTGAAGGGGTTTTACTTAAGTGCTCGAGGAATACTGAGGCATATTTGGCAATGGTCGAAGTCCACGATGGAGCCTGTGGCGCCCACCAAGCCGACCATAAAATAAAGTGCTTGTCATTTCGACAGCGTGTCTATTGGCCAAGTATTTTGAAAGACTGTATTGAATTTTCCAAGGGATGCCCACTACGTCAAAAAAGACTTACGAAAGCGCTTTTTTTGGCCTTTAAAAGCGCTTAAAAGCGCTTTCGTAGGTGGCGCTGCTATAGGTTTTAGCAGCGCTTTTTGTTTAATGAAAAGCGCTTTCGTAGGTCTACCTAATACAACGCTTTTTTATGAAGAAGCGCTTTCATAGGTCTACCTAAGGCAACGCTTTTTTCTGGAAAAGCGCTCTCATAAGTTTTCTTTTAGCAGAGCTTTTTTCTGGAAAAGCGCTGTCTTAGGTGGGCTTTTAGCAATGTTTTTTTCTAGAAAAGCGCTTTCATAGGTGGTCTTTTAGCAGCGCTTTTGCCTGGAAAAGCGATGTCATATGTTTACCTTAGACAACGCTTTTTGTGAAAAAGCGCTTTCATAGGTTACCTAAGGCAGCGTTTTTCTTGAAAAAGCGCTTTCATAGGGTGTTTTTTTTAGAGGTATAATTTATATAATTCATATACCTGCATTGTTTGCAGCATATTATTTATATAAACCAGTTGCCATAACCTGTAATTCATAAGCCGCGGTAATGCATTGTATACCATTGTAATCCAAAATATATATACACCATTTTTGTACCTCAAAATATATAAAAACCATTGTTATCAGCATTGTAACTCAAAATCAGTCTTACAAAATCAACCCTAACAACAACTAAACCAGTCCTAATGTATGAAAGAAACACGGTCAATTATGTATTAAGGTCCTGGTCCTGCGAGGTTTGAACATAATAACACGGTCAATATGGTATTCCATGTACACTCGTAACTTATTCATAACACTTTTCACATAATAATGTATTCATACCTTATATGATTCTCTGCTCAATAAAATATTGACACAATTCCTCTTTGATTTCTTCCAACTGAAGTTTCGTGT